ACGAACGATTCAATACTTCATCAGTAATGACAAATTACCCAAAATATTTGTTAAATATATCTTTAATCTTGTCAGTCTTTAAATAGTTCATTGACACTAACCTGCGCAGTTAAATAACATCTGGGTCAGCTTTATGGTGTTATTGCTCCTCTGTAACGCTTCCACTACCACATAAAGGATAGGTATGGGCTGACATACCCCTCTCATACCCTTCCTCTAGGCTGCTCTCCTGATGGTGGGGAATGGGTGTCTAGGGCGCCTACGGGGGCGAGTAAGCTACCTCACCGCCGGGGTGAGTCAGAGAAGAGTGTGTGGATGGGTGAGTGATACTACTCACCCGACTCTTGACTCCTCTTAGCCGCTGCCAATGATGACCCCAATTGCCGGTGGCACACGGACACGCACTTTACAGTATAGGCCTACAGTGTACACCTTTACTGTTTACCACACTGGCTTACTGGACCAAACTACTCTATTGCTCATTTCGGACTTTGCTAACCCACATCATTATTTTGTTCTACTAGTATTCTATTAGTTTTATCATTATGTTAGGACGATTACCCGTCGATGCCCGGGGCAGTCGTCTCTTCTCCTACCCTCATTCCACCTCTCTTCTTTTTCCCTCTCCCCGCTCTTCCTTCTCGCTCCTCATTTACCCCTCTCTTCCCCCCCCCCTCTTCTCCTCATTTCCCTACCATCAGGACGGCAGAAGACAGAACAGTGACGACAAGGGCTCTCAGGGCGCTCACTTGGCTATAACGTCATGTTTAAAAGCACATTTAAACAAACTAATGATAAAAAGTGTACTAAACATACACGGTAACATATAATTGCTATAATCCTAGCCTTCTAACCCAGTTTTTGGCTAAGTGCTTCCTGCGATGATTAATATTTTGAGATGCATAGCTCACATTAACCTAATGTTCACCATTGATCTTGTGTCAGTGATGTTGACCTAAAAAGATATTGGCAAAATTCTTTGCTGTTTAAATTATCTTTAGTGCCTATTTGAACATTGTTGAACAGAAGTGAACCGAGAATTAACACAAGGCCTAGATATTATTTAGAAATAATCGGCGTCGTCTCTGGTGAACGCCACCAACAAACAACGAGGAACAATTACATTTCCAGTAACGTCATAACGTAACGTTTGAATAACAAAGCACCGTTAATCAGTGACAAAATATCTAAGGTCAAATGTCGCGAGTTTGTTGTCCCCAGCATCAGTCACATCCCTGATCTATGTAGCGAGATGAAACAAGCAGTAAATAGGAACCTGGGTGTTAGTCAGCTGTCACGGGCTGCTTCCTGGGGGTGGAGGCCTGGTCGAGGAACGGGCCGCGGGGACACTAAAAAAAAAAAAAAGCCCCGAAATCATCTCAAGATAACCTCAAGATAAGGAAGGCAATTACCCTGGAAACACAAACCGAAACTGTCTCTATTTTCCGCTTGTTACAACTGGTAATAAAGTTGTTACATCTTGGCTTAACGTGTTTATGACGTATTAGAACGTTGTTACAACTTGCTATATTGGTTGTTATAACTGGTTAGGAGGTGTTAAAACTTGTTCGAACGTTGTACCAACGTCGTAGTTTCGGTGTGTGTTTGGCGGGACATTATTACCTACATGGGAGGAATATCCCTTGCGTCATTGTAGGAGTGTAGTCACTTACTCAAAACTGATCCATTAACTCCATCCATTTTATGTATTACGGTCCACTCTGTCTTTGCAACCCATTCCGTGTATTACAAAAGAATTTTATGTACTACAATGAGTTAGTTCCATTATTGCAATCCATTCTATGTATTGCACTAGATCCTGTCATTCGTAAACTCTGTTGCTCTCCTTGTGCACCGCAATATTGTGTTACCAGTCTGTTTCACAATATTGTATTACCAGTCTGTTTCACAATATTGTATTACCAGTTACACAATATTATATACTAGCATTAAATTATTAAGTTCACCGAAATTCATGAACGGAAACTGTTATTGAAGGCAACAGAGAATTACTGTTAACACCAAAGCGATGCCCAGGTATCTGGACATCGCTTTGCTAGGCTATGGCTAGGCTATCAGACCCGGGGGACCATGGGTACTCATCGCCATATATTCCTAGGCTATCACAACATAATTGGTACCACACTTTACTGCTAATGTTATACACGAGAATAAATCATTACTCAAATTAGAGACTCCGGCAAATGTTCAAACTGCCCTGCAGCTGCACGTGTGGATATACCTCCCGGAATTTTAAACATCGTACCTGTAATCATATTGGTATATCTTACCATACGAGCAAGTTGGCAAAGTTGGTTATATTCAGTTCCCCTCTCAATTGGTTACCCATTCTCTCCTGTTCGCACTTTAGGCCTGACTATAACTATTTTAATTTTTTTTTTTTTTTTTTTTTGCCTTTTAGCATATATAATTCGAAACAAATCGAGCAGCCTCAAGGTGAGCTACCAGATGTGTCCCGTTTAGGCGCTGGTTTATATCTTTTATCCTTCGTCTTTGCCAGCTAATGACTCAATTACATCCAGGTATAAATATAACAAATATTGCTCTGTGCCCACCTCCTCCTCCTTCTCCTTCCCCCCACCCCCACTCCAAATTCCTCCCCCCCCCATCATGCTACTCACTCCATCCACCACTCCCCCATCCCCATCCTCATATCCACCCCATCCTTCTCTCCCCCACCACCCATCCTCATATCCACCCCATCCTCCTCTCCCCCACCCCATCTTACTTCCCCCCCCCCCCATCCCCATCCTCGAGAACGTCGCTTGTGCTGAAGAACATGGGGACATGATTCTGGTAAGTTTAAGAGAGAGAGAGAGCGAGAGAGAGAGAGAGAGAGAGAGAGAGAGAGAGAGAGAGAGAGAGAGAGAGAGAGAGAGAGAGAGAGAGAGAGAGAGAGAGAGAGAGAGAGAGAGAGTGAGAGAAAGAGATAGGAGAATCAGAGAAAGAGAAACCATAAATGACTATTACATGTCTCCTCCCAACAAAGCCAGCACGGGTCACCCAAGTGTCTCCCTCGCCTCAAGAGCGACACAGCCACATTCTCACGCTGTTAAAAACATCACTGCCAATGTCTTCTGAACTAAATCAAACCGACAGTTATGCATTTCCATAGTTTATCTGTCAACACCATATACCTTGTTCACATACACAAGTACTTCTAGGTGAGAACACATATTAGCGTCCTCCACTTAGACCCTTGACCAGAATTGATCAAAGTAACATAAGAGTTCATTTGCGAAACCTATATAGCTTTCGTAAATCGAGCGCTACTAGGTGGTTTACGACCGTATTAATCTGAGGTCGAGGAGCAGCTCGCGGGGTTTCGAAGCTCGTAAACTATATTATATTAGAGACTAAGATGGGATGATCGAGGAGACGTGAACAGGTTGTGAGTGGTCAGGGACATGCTCGTGTTTCTTACCCAGGGACGCTGACCACGGCCCCCTCTCACGCACCAGGGACGCTGGCCACGGCCCCTCTCACGGACCAGGGACGCTGACCACGGCCCCTCTCACGGACCAGGGACGCTGGCCACGGCCACTCTCACGCACCAGGGACGCTGGCCACGGCCCCTCTCACGGACCAGGGACGCTGGCCACGGCCACTCTCACGCACCAGGGACGCTGGCCACGGCCCCTCTCACGCACCAGGGACGCTGACCACGGCCCCTCTCACGGACCAGGGACGCTGGCCACGGCCACTCTCACGCACCAGGGACGCTGGCCACGGCCCCTCTCACGCACCAAGGACGCTGGCCACGGCCCCTCTCACGGACCAGGGACGCTGGCCACGGCCCCTCTCACTCACCAGGGACGCTGACCACGGCCCCTCTCACGCACCAAGGACGCTGACCACGGCCCCTCTCACGCACCAAGGACGCTGGCCACGGCCCCTCTCACGGACCAGGGACGCTGGCCACGGCCCCTCTCACGCACCAGGGACGCTGGCCACGGCCCCTCTCACGGACCAGGGACGCTGGATACGGCCCCTCTCACGCACCAGGGACGCTGACCACGGCCCCTCTCACGCACCAGGGACGCTGGCCACGGCCCCTCTCACGCTCCAGGGACGCTGACCACGGCCCCTCTCACGCACCAGGGACGCTGGCCACGGCCCCTCTCACGCTCCAGGGACGCTGGCTACGGCCCCTCTCACGCACCAGGGACGCTGACCACGGCCCCTCTCACGCACCAGGGACGCTGGCCACGCCCCCTCTCACGCACCAAGGACGCTGGCCACGGCCCCTCTCACGCACCAGGGACGCTGGCCACGCCCCCCCCCTCTCACGCACCAGGGACGCTCACCACGCCCCCCTCTCACGCACCAGGGACGCTGGCCACGCCCCCCCCTCTCACGCACCAGGGACGCTCACCACGCCCCCCTCTCACGCACCAGGGACGCTGGCCACGCCCCTTCTCTATCACCGCCTCTTAAAAATTATTGCAAATCGGCCCAGATTTTCACTAGGAGCTGGGGGTGGGGGGACCTTGTTAATCCTATGATACCGGCAGAGCTCCAGACGGAGGGAGGGAGGGAGAGGGGAGCTTCACTCAAACTCACACACTCACCTAGCACAACTAGTGAAGTACAACTAGATGAGTACTCATACTCGCCGACAGACTCACACTAACAAGACCAAAGATCTACAGGGAGTCAGCAAAGTTCACTACGGTAAACATGACCAAATGAAGACGTTGTGTGACTAATGTGAACACTGGCAGAACGGACAAATTGTGTTAACTTTAACAGGTCTCATGAACATTAGGAAGAATTTTGTTATGGAAGATAGGCATATAGGAGGCGGACAGAATGATCTAACGCGAGAAACAAGGCTTCCAAAGCTTGGCCTAGACCGGCCAAGCTTTGGAAGCCATGTGTTAAACAGCTCAGTCTCTCCAGTTGACGCTCCGTAAACATGCGACGATCACAGCTGCACAGACACTTGGGTACGCTATCATCTCGCCTCACAAGACATGATGGATCGAAGGCGTCATGGATTGAAGATGTTTTGTGAAACTATTTACTCCAGGGAAGGTGCAGACGCCAGGGAAGGTGAAGACGCCAGGGAAGGTGCAGACGCCAGGGAAGGTGAAGACGCCAGGGAAGGTGAAGACGCCAGGGAAGGTGAAGACCCCAGGGAAGGTGAAGACGCCAGGGAAGGTGAAGACGCCAGGGAAGGTGAAGACGCCAGGGAAGGTGAAGACGCCAGGGAAGGTGAAGACGCCAGGGAAGGTGAAGACGCCAGGGAAGGTGAAGACGCCAGGGAAGGTGAAGACCCCAGGGAAGGTGAAGACGCCAGGGAAGGTGAAGACCCCAGGGAAGGTGAAGACGCCAGGGAAGGTGAAGACGCCAGGGAAGGTGAAGGCGCCAGGGAAGGTGAAGACCCCAGGGAAGGTGAAGACGCCAGGGAAGGTGAAGACGCCAGGGAAGGTAAAGGCGCCAGGGAAGGTGACCCCTATAAGGATGTGTGAGGGGTTACAGCTTCTGGGTGGCAGGTGGTGAGGCGCTGCTCCGGCCCCGTAAACACTACTCCAGGAGGTCATTGTATTCACAACTATATATCCAATAGATTTTAAGAAGCGTATATTAAGGTGAGAGTGCGTATATACACGCAAACGCATAAACACGCTGTCAAACACACCCAACACACGTTATTGTGGTGGCGGGGGTTGAGCTTCATCTCCTTGGTCCCGCCTCTCAACTATATATATATATATATATATATATATATATATATATATATATATATATATATATATATATATATATATATATATATATATATATATAAATTCGCCATTCAGGCGAACAAGCCTGAATGGTCCCCAGGCATACGTGCAACTGATTCATTCTTGGGGTGTGAGTTTTCAGTTATATATTTTTGAAACTGTGTATGGAGTCAGCCTCCACCACATCACTGCCTAATGCATTCCATATGTTAACTACTCTGACACTGAAACAATTCTTTCTAATGTCTCTGTGACTCATATAAGTACTACGATTCCACCTGTGTCCCCTTGTTCGTGTTCCACCCGTGCGAAATAGTTTGTCTTTGTCCATCCTGTCAATTCCTCTGAGAATTTTGTAGGTGATGATCATGTCTCCTCTAACTCTTGTGTGTGTGTGAATGTGTGTGTGTGTGTGTGTGTGTGTGTGTGTGTGTGTGTGTGTGTGTGTGTGTGTGTGTGTGTGTGTGTGTGTGTGTGTGTGTGTGTGTGTGTGTGTGTTTAAGTATTAAGCCACGGACTGTCCATCCCCAGGATGCAGCTTAACTGCCAGGTACATATTTATTGCTAGGTGAACAGTAGCATAAGATTGAAGGAAACGCTGCCCATTTGTTTCCGTCCAGGCCATGGAAGAATGGCCTGTCTCTCTCTCTCTCTCTATCTCACACACACACACACACACACACACACACACACACACACACACACACACACACACACACACACACACACACACACACACACACACACGCCCTGCATAATAAAATCAGACTTTCACTACCTTTCTTGCAAGAGAGAATACATCACAGCTTCCTCTGCAACAAATGTTCACTGCTCTCCAGCACTCACCATCAATACAAGTGTCCATTCCTTTCTCTCCGTCAAGAAGACAATGTTCTTCCTCTCCCTCATTATACGCTTCTCTCTATCACATGTTGCTATCTAATCGACTTCATATTGAACACGCGACGTCTTTACGCCGCTATCAAGCACAGGTCATTGAACTCCCTCCCACCTATATTTAAACGTATGTATATCTATCTCTATATTTCTCTCCCTCATACATATATTACAAACATGTGTATATAATATTATACATAAAAATATTTGTATATTTAGACAGCAAGTGTTCCTTTTACGCCTGCTGCCTTTAATATTATATATAATTTATTATTACATATATATATATATATATATATATATATATATATATATATATATATATATATATATATATATATATATATATATATATATATATATATGTTAAATATGACCGAAAGTGTGAGATTAATAATTCTAAAACGAATCTTTTCAGTATTTCTTAAGTTCTTTTTCAATGACGAGGGTAATTGATAAATTGACTCTCCAAAATTCATTCTTTATTTCTGGTCTGACGCCTGAAAGCGTTTCGTAATGCTTATTACATTTTCAAAGACTTAGTATACACATATTTATGTGTAAACTAAGTCTTGTCCTCTCAATGTTCATTTTTTGTATAAAATCAGGTATGTAACTGTATAACCTTGCATAATAAAGTGTACACCATAAAAAAAGGAGGTGGTAGGAGAAGCGAACACTCAAACGTATTCAGAGTTAAAAGGCAAGTTTTTCTCTGAATGCTCTGTGTTCCCTTCTTTGAGGCTGTGGGTCCCTATAATTGCACCAGAGGTGGTACCCCCGTATATTATATATATATATATATATATATATATATATATATATATATATATATATATATATATATATATATATATATATATATATATATATTTACTATATAAATTATTATGTACATTATATATGTATATTATATTTTACATATAAAATATATATAATGCTTTGAATAATTTAGATCCATTTTATATATGCATATATGTGTATACATTATATTATAAAATAAAATATAGATTAATAATATTAAATATATATATATATATATATCCAGAGAAACAATGCTTGCTGTATCTTGGACAGGCGTCCCACCTCTGGTCTCAGAATAGTGATTGATATATGTGTGTTCTGTAAACTATAAAATAAATAGTATGTAATAAAATAAAGTATGAATAAAGTATGTATAAAGTATGTAATAAAATAAAACCATTTAGTATAAAATAACAAAAACGTAATGGTGGAAGGAAAAGAAAATACATCAAGTGTTCGGGGAGAATTTACAAGGTCTTCTCTGAATACCCTTTATTCTCTTCTGAGAGGCAATGGGTCCCTACAACTGCTGCAGAGGTGGCACCCTCTACTATACAGATACTATGTCAAATCCAGGCATGTTTCTCTTATTCCGAGGCCATGGTTTCCAACTGAGGTCATTGTACGCTTCCTGAAACGTCATTGCTTTCTCTCTCTTCCTCATTATCAGGCGAGTGCTTTCACTCTATCTTTGTTAAAGTTCAGTGCTCTCTCCTGTGCAACCAGAGGTCACTGCCCTCACTATCTCTCCTAATCATCAATTTTCTCTCCCTCTCTCTCATCCTCCCTCTCACTCTCTCTCTCTCTCTCTCTCTCTCTCTCTCTCTCTCTCTCTCTCTCTCTCTCTCTCTATCTTCCTCTTTATCTCCCTCTTCCTATCTCTCTCTCTCTCTCACTCTCTGCATTATCGGTCACTGCCCTGCTAGTCTAACCAGGAGATATCAGCGCACTGCCTACTTAACCATCAGATGTCAATGTTGTGTTCCAGTGAATGTCACCACTACTCTAGGATCCTACACCTGCATGCACCACTACTCTAGGATCCTACACCTGCCTGCACCACTACTCTAGGATCCTACACCTGCCTGCACCACTACTCTAGGATCCTACACCTGCCTGCACCACTACTCTAGGATCCTACACCTGCATGCACCACTACTCTAGGATCCTACACCTGCATGCACCACTACTCTAGGATCCTACACCTGCATGCACCACTACTCTAGGATCCTACACCTCCATGCACCACTACTCTAGGATCCTACACCTGCATGCACCACTACTCTAGGATCCTACACCTGCCTCCACCACTACTCTAGGATCCTACACCTGCATGCACCACTACTCTAGGATCCTACACCTGCATGCACCACTACTCTAGGATCCTACACCCGCCTCCACCACTACTCTAGGATCCTACACCTGCCTGCACCACTACTCTAGGATCCTACACCTGCCTGCACCACTACTCTAGGATCCTACACCTGCCTGCACCACTACTCTAGGATCCTACACCTGCCTGCACCACTACTCTAGGATCCTACACCTGCCTGCACCACTACTCTAGGATCCTACACCTGCCTGCACCACTACTCTAGGATCCTACACCTGCCTCCACCACTACTCTAGGATCCTACACCCGCCTCCACCACTACTCTAGGACCCTACACCTGCCTGCACCACTACTCTAGGATCCTACACCTGCCTCCACCACTACTCTAGGATCCTACACCTGCCTCCACCACTACTCTAGGATCCTACACCTGCATGCACCACTACTCTAGGATCCTACACCTGCATGCACCACTACTCTAGGATCCTACACCCGCCTCCACCACTACTCGTGTGCCCCGCCCCCTCCCCCCCCCCCCACTCTCCACCACCACTGCTCACAAAAACAGGTTGGCAATGGTGTTCAAGTAGTGTTGGTGGCTAAAACTGTCATTATATATTCCCGCGTCATCTGGGTATGTAAACAAAAACATGGAACAACGGTACTTCCTCCAAGACTCGTGTATACCCGCAGCGAAGCAGTGAGCTCTTCCACCATCGAATACAAAGTTGATTATGTCTGTGCTTGACGTCCCTGGCGAAAGTTCGCTGGCGAGAGTTTGCTGGCATGAGGTCGCTGGCATGAGGTCGCTGGCGTGAGGTCGCTGGCGTGAGGTCGCTGGCGTGAGGTCGCTGGCATGAGGTCGCTGGCATGAGGTCGCTGGCATGAGGTCGCTGGCGTGAGGTCGCTGGCGTGAGGTCGCTGGCGTGAGGTCGCTGGCGTGAGGTCGCTGGCGTGAGGTCGCTGGCGTGAGGTCGCTGGCGTGAGGTCGCTGGCGTGAGGTCTGAGCCAGCAGATGGTGGTACTAGGTTCACCTATACCGGGCCAACACCTGTGCTGATGACTCACCATCAGTAACCAACTCGTCAATGATAACATTCTTACTGACACTCTAATGACCAATAACCCAGTAGAGATAATTCAGAGTGGTTAACCCCAATGATCCCGCGGGTGAGCGGCTCTCCCACCTCAAGCAACAGGTATGCTACAGGAAGCATGGAAAGTGAGGCAGAGAGGTCAACAACACGGTGGAACATGTCTCACCCGAGTACCGCCGGTTTTAGAGCCCAAATCTGAAGTGTTTGAGAGGTGTTTAGGCTCTTCAGCGAGCACCAGCACATCACACAGACACACACAGCCACCGACTATGTTACACAAACACACAAACACAAACGATACTACGTACACGGAACCACCAACATTACGACAAACATACAGCCAAACACCACTCCAAGTACTAACAAAGTATTTGTGTAAACATTCATACAACCCGTTCTCGCACTTTCGTATAGTCAATATTGACTTATTAAATACGTGCATATGTGACATACTAAACATACTAGTTTACCTTGAAAAGCTTCATAGAAAACACCGACCTTACCTGACCTTCTTAGTATGTTAAGATAAGCATCTTATTGCTTCGTAATTACTATTATTATTTAACCTATTGTAGGTATAGGTTAAGTAATAATTGTAATTACGAAGCAAT